TCTTTCTCTTTTCCTTTTGGCATCATTCACCATTTCGTTGACGGGTTTAATCGTAAAGTTAGTCTAAAGACACAATTGATGACAAAAAAAGAAAAAAGCATGAGTTTAAGATTGGTCTTACCCTTTTAATTTTTTTCAGAGACTAGCTAGCCTATTTGCCGTTGTTAAATGAATAGGAAATTTAGCAAGACGTTTCCATTGCTTGTCTGCCAAAAGAAGAAATACATTCACACACACACATATGTGTTTTTGTGTATTTGTTTTATAGCCTATATCTGTGTGTGTGTGTGTGTGTATAGTTGTGTTTTGTTATTCTTAACCTTTATCTTAAGCAAATGCAATATGCAAACTTTTCTTGTGTTAACTAGTTTATTTCAGAACAGAATAAAAGGTAGCCGTATGTTTCTGTCTTAGTATATATTTGAATGGTGTCCGATTATCCCAGTGTTTAATCTAATGTTTGCTGTAGGTTTTATTTGATTAATTCATCGTATATTGAACTAACTTGGCTGTTGTGGCATTTAGTGCAGTGCCTTTCCTGTAAAGAACTGCATGGATCGTCGAATTTACAATTGAAATTTAGTTTATATTAGTCTTGCATTGCTTAAAATATATTTACTGCTCTTATATGTGTGGCAGTCACGATATAACATTTAATTCATTTATTGCTAAATGGTTAAAATGTATAGGCAGTATTTGCATTTATTGTTTAATTATGCATTGACATGTTTGCATTTTTGCATATTCCAAATGCAAACGGGCTATGCATAAGACTTTAATATAAGGAACAGATTAAAATCTTGATTTTAAAATGAACGCAAATTTATGTAAAAAAGTGAATATTAATTTTAGTCTCATAATGCCTTTGACTTCAGTCGTCAAATTTCGATTAGGAACTGAAAGAATCTTTAATATTGCTTTTTTTGTTTTTGTTTTTACGAATTAAAAGAACATTTAGATATTTGAGTTTAAAAGATGCAAATATGCATTCATTAAATAAATGCATGCTAGTTACAGACAAACGTATGTACGTCGGCTAAGAGTTTTAGTAATGCATGTGGATGTTTTAATAACTTCATATGAATACATTTGTTTACTTTTAATTTTTTTTATTTATTTATGATAAATGTACCCATATCAAATGACCGAGCAACTAAAAGGAAATCCATTTTGACACCTGAACGTTCAGGTGTTGGTAAAAACTCGAAATGGAAGATGTAAAAACGATGCAATGGTCACGCATGTGATTTACTTTGCACATCATTTTTTTTGGTCTCACGTAGCGTTTTAGGATTGAAATAGAGTTAATGTAATTATTTATTATAATATGCATGCATAAGCCACAAAAAATATTTTGATCATTATTATTCTAATTAATAATGGAAAATAAGTAACATGACGCAAAATGATTGCATAATAATTTACATGATTAATACGTTTAAAATAGCCTAATTTTCTATAGATCCAGATATTGAACAAATATTAACATTGGAATATCGTTCGCATTTTATGACTAAATTGAATGTTAGATCGGTGTTAATCTTATTTTTTTGTCATGAAGGACTGGGCAAGTTCATTGTTTTACCTGATATTTTAGAAAATTTCGCTCAGCTCGGCAAAATATCGATCTTTCAACTTAAACAGCAACTTTTGGTCCGAAAGGCTGTGACGATCAAAACAAAAAAAGGAGAAAAACAACCCTGACATTAACGCTTAAAAATACAATTTGTCCACACAATGTGCAAAGCTGTGCAAAGCCCATTAGCTCACGACCTCAGTGTCAAAGGGCAGCTGGTCAGTCTCCAGACGCGCCGGCCGCCAGAGCGGTCATCGGCTAATGTCCTTATTGCTCTATTTCATTAGTGAAGAAGAACAAGCCCAGCATACACATCAAAATAATATATAATATTAGAAATCCAGAGATATAGGCTCTATTGGAATACTGTAAATATCCATACCTGCTCATAATTGGTACTTATTTTTGAATGAAATCTTAACCTTGGCTATTTCAAATATTGTACCACGTACAGGCTACATAATATTTTTATTTTCTTATATAATTGTAGAATATAAAATAGAAACAGAAAAGAATCCATGAAAGTAAATGTATACTATTAAATATTTATATGTAAAATATTTGCGTTCCTCCAAAATAATGCATTTGATAGATATTAAATAAGGATATTTCATGGTTGGATTTACTTTTAATTAATTTTGCCGGACACATGGACCATGGACTGGAAACAGTGTGTAGGTTGCAGTGGATGTCATGTTTGCTCTGTTTGTAATCAATAGCTTTGATCATTGACTTTTTGATGTGCCATCATAAGGAGAGTCAGTGAGGAATTGACCTCCAACATCGATGCTTTGCTTCGTCTTCATTGTGTGTGCTTTTATTACAGACCTAATCAAGTGTGTGTGCATGCATGTGTTTGAGTTGCATTAAGGCTTTGCTGTATTACTTTTTAAAAAATCCAAACAAATAGTATCTTAATGTTTAATTTTTAATATGCTATGATATTATTGTCTACCATTGCCAATATATATTTAGGCTTGAGAACATGTATCTATGTTTTTCTATGAGTAAAATTATTTGATTGTTTTGCGACAAACACATATACGCATGCACACACACGCACGCTTCGTGAGCTCTGTGCTGGTTGGTTGTCCAGGTGGTTAGAATGCGGGCAAGCGATCAAGTTGAGGGGTTGAAGGTCAATTTCATCCCAGACGAATGACCTCATTCACTAGAGTCTGACCCCTGTGGTCAAACTGGTAAGGGGAGGAAAGGAAGAGATAAATAGAGAGAAAGAAAGAAGAAACGATTGGCATTGGGGCCCGTCATCTAACAGTCGCGATGTTGTCGTCTGTGGTGTTTTGCTGTGTGCATTTTCGTTGTTTTGGTCAGATTCTGCCATTGTCCTTTTAGATTAAGTAGATTTTCACTCTCTGTGTCTTTTTCTCTCATTCGCTCTCATGAATTAACACCTGACCTTGACCACTGACACTGAACCTAACCTTCAAGTGTGCCTAAGCATCAACCCCCACGGCCCCAAAATACACACACGCACGCACATTAAGAGAGAGAAGGCAGAAACAAACACGCACAGATGTCCAGGTAGAAGCCTGTGTGAGGATGTTAAGTAAATGTCACATCATGAATTGCATCTCAATCTAGGCAGGTTTGTCCTCTAAATATTCCTGTTTTTATTAAACAATAAAATAGAGATGGGAAAAATATTTTTAAAAATATGTATGTCTCCCCTAAATACCATTCTGTTGTCATCAAAACGGCTCGTAGTGTATTTTTTCAACAGCTGAAAGTGGTAAGTGTGTGTGTGTGTGTTTAATATATTTATATATATATATATATGTACACACAGTATATGCACACGCACATAGTATATACACGTGTGTATAATATTTAACATATCTAATATATATAAAATATTAACATAATATTTACATTTTAAATATTTGTTAATAACGTGTGTGTGTGTGTATTTGTTTTTTTTCTTCCTGGTTTTAATGAATACAAAAAAGGACAGAATGTGCTTATCTTTTTTCTTTTTTTTTCGGCCTTTTTTTGGCCTTTTTTTTTTTTTTTTTTAAAGCTGCAATAGTTAGGGATTATATTTTATAACCAAAATATACAAATAAGAAATAGGCAGGTAGACGAGGGAATGCAAGGCCAGAAAAGTTCCTAATCGAAAAGAAAGAAAAATAAATAAATAAAAACCTAACCGCAGAATTCTCCAGACTAAGTATTTACACTCCTATAGGTTTTGTTACTTCTCCTCCCCCAAACACCCCTCTCTTTTTCTTTCTTTCTCCATCTTCCTGCTTAATCCCTGCCTACTTCACCACGTTTTCTAATCCCAAATATCAGAGGTATCCCCCCCCTCGCCTTTGAGCCCCTAATGCTGAAACCTCCTTTGATACAACCTTCTTTGCTTCCTCTTCCCATTCTTTTTATCCCTCGTCTTATCACTCACTCACACTCCCTGCGCTTGTCCTCTCGTGCCTTGTGTATTGTTTCTCTCACTTCTTTTTCTTTTGTTTGTGCAATTTATTTATCATCAACGACGTACCTTTTTAAGCTACGAATAAATGCATTTTAAAATAAAAAAAATCTTGATGATAAATCCCATATTTTTTGTTTACTGTATCTTCATGTGGATGGAGTGTGAGAATATGTAGTGTCATGTGCATGTTTGTTCATGTTGCCAAGTGTCATATCAATAGGTATAGTGTCACATTCACTAAGTCACTGATTTGTTGGCACTTCACCAATCCATACACTGGTCAGGAGTCGTAGCATTGATTTCCCCCTTTGCCTTAAGAATGAGGTAGACGTCAGCATGGGGTTTGGCTATTGATCGAACCCAAATCACAACCCACCCGCTCTGCATCAACCTGGGCCACCCGTAGCTTTCATAGGGTGAGCCAACGGCGCTTCACTTTGCTTCCGATTGACTGGATGCGACTTGGTCAAGGTGCGTCGGTAATTGGGCCTTGTTTTGATTGACAGCTAGATTTACATGCTTACCCATGGATGAGCGCCCCTGTGTTCGGCCATCTGATGGGACCGTTGAACCAACTGCTACATTCGCACATTAAAAACATGGCCGCTAACCTTTGACACCCTAATTTGCTTAGTCACCATTTAAAGTTGTGTGATGGTCCATTTAGGTTGGCCGTCGTCCATAATTGAGTCCTCTCGCTGACACTCGTTCATTATTTGTGTCAAATAATTCCTCCCTTCCCTTCTCCCGTCCGTCTTTTCTTCTCTGCTGGATAATTACATGTCTGATTTCGTCCTCAATTTTTCATTATTTCCACTCGTTTCATTGACTCCATACATCCCTTTTCCTCGCTCACTTCCCTCTATCAATGTTCGGCTTTTCAGCTCTCCTTTTCTCTACACTTCCTGATTCCCAGCTGTAATCTCATCGGCGTTGCTCCCCTCGTTCTCCTTTTTCCCCACTCCCTCTCTCTCTCGTCTTCACTGTGTAAGCAAGAGAGTAGAGGTTGTTAAACATTTTTCTTCTCTCTTAATTGTTTTGACTTGTGCCATCGGCATCCCGATTAGGGCCCATTGATTTCCTAGTGCTAAGTGCATTGATTTCTACATTTCTTATTGATCTCGGTTCTAAATCTACCCACACACAGTCTCAATGCACAAGGCGAGACAGACAGAGAGAGAGAGAGAGAGGAGAGGAATCTGTTAAGCGTGTCATTGTTAGACAAAAAAGGAGTTCAAAACTTATTGGAATTACCTTGAATGGATAGTTCATAAATGCTGAGTTATTACTTATACTTGTCGTCAAAAGTCTCTTTGGAAATATTTGTATATGCCATATTAATCTTTAAATTAAATATTTTATTAATGAATAAATATTTTAATTAAATATCACATTAATTAATAACATTAAATATAGTAAAAACAATTATTATATTAAATAATACATATTTTTATATAATGATTTTTTTATTAGGATTTGTAAACATTTTATACATAATACAACACCTATTTTTAATGTACAAACAGTGAACATAGCACACACTTATTCACCCACACACTCTTTGCCTTTTGCCTCCGCGTAGCCACACACACTTGGACAGACGCTCAGCACCCCATAAAGATCACAGACGGGGTATTGGGACTTTATCCTCTTCCGCTGTAACGGCGGATCACATATTCAGCAGGCCTCTGACGGGGCAAAATCAGCTCCCCCTCTCAAGCTAGTCTGCACGCTACTGATAGCCCCTTCCATGTCATAGCATTAGGCCGCGGCAGGCCGCTGCGGGCGAGACACATCGCCAGCACTTTGGGGGTCTATGTCTTTTACCAGCACTGACTGCTGGATCTTCAGCTGCTGTCTCCCAAGTCTTTGATCGTGTTAAAACTAGCATAGCGTGGAATGATGGTTGAATCTGTATGAAATGGAAAATACTTTTTGTGGTGGGTCCTGTAAAGGATGCATTAATAAAAAAAAAAGAAATAAAAATCTTGTTTGTGAATTTTAGTCGCCATAAGCAAATGTGTGAAATCAAAATATTGTAAGAGTGTTTGGCAGGCTATGCAAGAAGAGCAAAAAAAAAGACCAAATGAATGTAAGCAGCCTAGACTGTATCTGAGATTAAAAAGGACATTTGTTGTGGTATTATTCATTTAAAGGAACTATTAACTATTGATAATTCATTTATCTTTTTCTTCTCCCTTCATCCCAGATGTTTAAGGTGCAAGTAAATACTTTTATGTCAATGAAGAAATAGAAACAAATGTTAAATCCATTAAACAAGACACATAAAGAACTACAAATCCCAACAATCCCCTGCATTGAGGAGCAGGCTATCTGTCAATAAGACAAGATCTAATGTCAATTGGTGATTAAGAGAAGACAACATTAGCAATTATTACCCAACTGCGTGTGTTAAAAGAGAGCTACGGCACAGAGGATGGATTTGTATTAGGGGTATTGGCAGACTTGAGCTGGATATTGACAATATGTCAGCACTGATCATTAGATCAACTGAAGAGAGAAAGAGTGTGAGCCCCAGCTTGAATCACATCTAACTCCATTGTTCGGGAATTGAACAAACAATGGAGTATAGTAAAAGCTGATTATTTTTTAGATCTTTTTATAGCTTTTTTGTGTTTAGAGGCATGCATAACGTGCAGAAAGATTGAGTATACAAAGTAAGAGAAATATATCCGTTTTTGTATCTGTCAGTGTTTGTGAGAAGGATTGATATTGCACCACAGTGGGAATGTGTCCTAGCCACGTTATTAGCTGTTTGTTACAGCAAGAGGGGGTGTTGATATAATTGTAAGCTGGTATTGATTGGGGGCGCCTTGTTATTGATGAGAGAGAATTTAATTCAACCAACGCATTTGTCAACATGACATTGCCATTTAACGATGAACTCTTTCACTATCGCTGTCTGGTTCACCCACCCAGACACACACAGGAAGAAGTTTCTTTTTATGTGTGCACTGAGTAATGATTATTTCTATTGATCGCCAAGTTCTTGACTTTTTTTTTTTTATCACAACAGGAACTTGAATGATGATACTGATGCCAGCAATAATATTAATGCCTGTCAAAATTTTTGCTTGATGTTAAATAATTTTATTAGTGACTTTATTTTGTTTTCGCTTTATACATTGTAGCAGGTGCTCAAACTGTTTTAACTACGTCTTGCATGATACATTTGCAGTCGTTTTTATGCATTTGATTTTTCTCCCATTTTTTTAATGATGACATGTCAATTGTAATGCCTATTGGGGTTAAGGGATATACTTTAGTGGACTATGAGCTGACCATTGAATGTAACCAAATGGAAATGTCATATTTGGAAACTGTGTTTCAGTCTGCACACCTTTCTTCCTTCTCTGCGCTATAGACGCGCAAAACACACTATATTCTACAAGAAATAATTGCTTTTGTCTGGAAGGAGTTTGGATGGGGGGGTTCGCAACGCGTGGCCTTTCAGTCGAGGGGGATTCGTGAAGGACAACTTGTCGCTTCTTTTTTTTCTCTTCTTCTTCCGTTCCCCCCTCTCGCTCGTTGGACACGCGGATGTCATCTGTCAAATGGAGGGGGTGCTTGGGGACAATAAAGCTCAAGGAACCATTGTGAGTCTGTTGTGTTGCAGGAAAATGTTTTTTTTTTAAACAAAATATGCGTGTGTATTGCTTTATATACTTGGTTAATCAAATAGCTATTGGGCCTAAGGCATGTTTCAAATCAGTTAAGTATTATTTTTTATGATTATTGAGTATTTTTCTTATTTTCTTATGAAACGCTCACCAATAATTGATCTATATCACCTCGGATATAGTAGAATAGATAGACGGATAGATAGAGAGAGACAGGAAGATTGGGGCAAATGTGAGTTGGGGTGGTGGGGGGATCAGGCGCTGAGCTTTCGATTTTCCCGTATTGACTGCGATGTTTAGCGTATAGATTTTTCTATTTAAAAAATCTATGTCGGCAATAATCTGGAGTGTAAATGCGCGGCATAGATTGTAGCTTTATTACTGACAGCATTCAGTGTGTCGGAAAGAGGGAGTGAAAGGCAGAATGGGGGGGAGAGATAGCCTACCCTAGACTAGCAATAGACCAAATGAAACTTTTGAGGGGTAGCGATAATCAGGTTCTGTTTGTTGCTTATTCACAGTATAATCCGCCACGTTAAATAATCACCATAGCATATCAATGGCTTCTCAGTAGGCTGGTCGCTTATATCGCCCGTATCTTTTCCACAAACAGCATATACCTGCATGTAGATGAGGATATAATCACCTGATGTAAGCCACTCGGTGAATGTGTGTAAGCCTATCGATCAGCGGCCCACCGCGATCATCAGAGTCATCATAATGAAGAGTAATCAAGCGATCAATACGCAGGATAGCTTGCCTTATATGGGATTAGTAAAAAAAGAAGAGGAGAGGGGGAGGTATGGATGGAGGGAGAGAAGGGGGCGGGGGGAGTATAGCGGCTGCTCCTCTCGTATCAGTGTTGCTTTCGTACCGGGAGGCGGACAGAGCTCGCAAGCTACCGGGGTTCCCAGATAGCCTATAACGGGACTATCGTAACGGACACATACGCGCACACAGACGGATGGTGGTGGGACAGAGCCAAAGAGCTGAATTCCGCTTAACGGGTACCGTGTTGTTTTCTTTTCGTTCAGTTTTAACATTTCGTGCACAAGCAGTGTTGCTCCTTAATTTATTTAGGCTATCGATTGATTGCGTTTTAATTACCGGCTCGTGAGTGGAATCGAAGGGGAGCGTATCGAGCCGCTGCGCAGCCTTATATGTGCGTGATTATTGAAATATACTAAGCGATTCTATTAGATTTTATACAAAAAAATTAAAATGCTGCTTGAAATGCATGCAATGCGCGCGAGGTAAACCACACCGTGGGAGAGCTAGAAACCAAATAGAGAAACGAAATATTCCTGTTACACCTTTGTTAAACCGTTTTAAAGCCAGCAACCGCGACTTGATTGTACTGAACCAAATAGTTTTCCTACTAAGGGGAAGACGATTTTGACTCGAGATTTGTTTAAAAAGCGAAACCAAAGTGAAACCAGATCGCGGTGCGCGCAAGGCCATTGCGACGTTTACCTGCCGCACACCTGGTCTCGCGCGGGATACGCAAAACCCAGGAAACGTTACGACGGTTAGGACAACAAGTGAGTTTTGAATTTTAAAAAGTCACAGTTTCAACCAACGGTTCGACATTTTTCCAGCAGGTCAACGTCCTGTTGTTATAATTTGTAGATTTGTTTTCAGCCAAGCAAATGTTAGTAAGACAAAACAAACGTTAAGTGACCACAAAACACGTTTAATATAAATGTAGACGACCGCTTGATAGATTCCGGCTATCCGTCTGTGTGTCAGTCCGAGATCGAGTAGAGTATCCCTGAGGAAGAAGAAGTAATGACTGAGAGGCACAATACCAAAAATGTAAAGATAGCTTGAGAAATGTATTTAGGTTATAGTCTACATTTTAAACAAATAGCCTACTGACTATTACCAAAAAGAAACAACTTTGTCTATTTGACAAAATAAGCAACCAAAGAAAAGAAACTCAAGACAAGCGCCAAATACAAAAGACCATAGAAGAAAAGCCCAGACGACAACGGATCATGTTTGTTCCCTTGCCGGTGCCGTTGGTGTTTCAGAGAACCGCTCCTGATTTCAGCGCCTGGCGACTCAAGTCTCCGCTGCCTCTGCGCTCCGGTAACTCCGGTAAGAGATACCTTTACCTCCCTCTGGTTAATGTCGGTAGCAGCTTTTCTTTTTCCCCTCACCACTGAAAAGAAAACCGAAAAAAGCTAAACGTGGAGCCGAAACACCTGTTCGGCCCCAGACAACCGTCTGAATGAAATCCATATATTTGTATTTCTTACAAACCACGTTCAGATACTTTTAGTTTCGTTTGTTTATGTGTGTATATATATATATATATATATATATATATATATATATATATAT